TCTCTGCAACCTCCACCTCCTGGGTTCAAGCAATTCTCCTGCATCAGCCTCCAGAGTAGCTGGGACTACAGGCGCACACTGCCACATCCGGCATTCCACCTGCCGTGGCCTCCCAAAGTGCTAGGATTACAGGTGTTAGCCACTGTGCCCAGCCAGCCAAATCATGTTTTAAAGTTACCTGAAATAAATAAATCTTCTCTGTGCAGTTAAGCCACCCACTTGATTAGGCAGGTTCATTTATTAAATTTTGCTTTTGACATTTAGGAATTTAAATGTTTAAAATATTGCATAACTACATATAAAACATTCATGTCATTTGAAAAGAAAGTCTATAAACTTCTATCCCTATCTTGTCTACCCATCTACCTTATTTCTTCCCAACCTCGTAGGTAACTATTTAATCTCTTTCATGGATTATCCTTCCTTTTTAAATATTATGTTGATGTACAATTTAAAAGTAAGCTATCCCATTCCATCCCATCTGTATTAGTCTGTTTTTGCATTGCTATAAAGAAATACCTGAGACTGGGTAATTTATAAAGAAAAGAGGTTTAATTGGCTCACGGTTTCACTGGCTGTACAGGAAGCATGATGCTGGCATCTGCTAAGCTTCTGGGGAAGCCTCAGGAAACTTACAATCATGGTGGAAGGCGAAGGGGCAGCACGCTTGTCTTACATGTGGCCAAAGCAGGAGCCAAAAGAGGGTGGGAGGTGCCACACACTTCCTTCCTTCCTTCCTTCCTCCCTCCCTCCCTCCCTCCCTCCCTCCTTTCCCTCCCCTACCCTCCCCTCCCCTCCCCAGATGGAGTTTCGGTCTTGTTGTCCAAGCAGGAGTGCAATGGCCAATCTCAGCTCACTGCAACCTCCACCTCCCAGGTTCAAGCAATTCTGCTGCCTCAGCCTCCCAAGTAGCTGGGATTACAGGTGTGCGCCACCATGCCCAGCTAATTTTTTGTATTTTGTAGAGACGGGGTTTCTCCATGTTGGTTAAGCTGGTCTCGAACTCCTGACCTCAGGTGATCGGCCTGCCTCAGCCTCCCAGAGTGCTGGTATTACAGGTGTGAACCACCGCACCCAGCCATGCCACACACTTTTTTTTTTTTTTTTTTTTTTGAGACGGAGTCTTGCTCTGTCGCCCAGGCTGGAGTGCAGTGGCCGGATCTCAGCTCACTGCAAGCTCTGCCTCCCAGGTTCACGCCATTCTCCTGCCTCAGCCTCCCGAGTAGCTGGGACTACAGGCGTCCGCCACATCGCCTGGCTAGTTTTTTGTTATTTTTTAGTAGAGACGAGGTTTCACCATGTTAGCCAGGATGGTCTCGATCTCCTGACCTCGTGATCCACCCGTCTCGGCCTCCCAAAGTGCTGGGATTACAGGCTTGAGCCACTGCGCCCGGCCGCCACACACTTTTAAATGAACACATCTCCATGTAAACTCACTACCATGAGAACAGCACCAAGGGGGATATCCACCCCCATGATCCAGTCACTTCCCATCAGGTCCGACCTCCAACATTGGAGATTACAATTCTACATGAAATTTGGTCAGGGACACAGATCTAAACCATATCATTCTACCCCAGCCCCTCCCAAATCTTATGTCCTTCTCACATTTCAAAACACAATCATGCCTCCCAACAGTCACCCAGAGTCTTAACCATTTCAGCATTAACTCAAAAAGTCCTAAGTCTCATATTTGAGATGAGAAGACAAGGCAAGTCTCTTCTCCCGTGAGCCTGTAAAGTCAAAAACATGTTACGTTACTTGCAAGATACATTGTGGGTACAGGCATTGGGTAAATACTCCCATTCCAAAATGGAGAAATCGGCCAAAAGAAAGGGGCTGCAGGCTTTGTGCAAGTCCAAAACCCAGCAGCGCGGTCATTAAATCTTAAGGCTCCAAAATAATCTCCTTTGACTTCACATCTCTCATCCAGGACACACTGGTACAAGGGGTGGGCTCCCAAAGCCTTGGGCAGCTGTACTTAACACCTGTGGCTTTGCAGGGTTCAGCCCCCACAGCTGCTCTCGCAGGCTGCTCTCATGGGTTGACATTGAGTATCTGTGACTTTTCCAGACTGAAGGTGCAAGCTGCTGGTGGATCTGGCCTCCTGGGTTCTGGAGGACAGTGGCACTCTTCTCACAGCTCCACTTGGGAGGACCCCAGTGGGGACTCTGTGTGGGTGCTCCAGCCCCACATTTCTCCTCTGCACTGCCCGAGTAGAGGTTCTCTGTGAAGGCTCTGCCCCTGCAGCAGGCTTCTGCTTGGACATCCAGGCCTTTCCGTAAATCTTCTGAAATCTAGGCAGAGAGAGGTTCCCAAATCTCACCTCTTGGATTCTGTGTACCTGTAGGCTTAACAGCATGTGGAAGCTGCCAAGGCTTATGTCTTGCATCCTGTGAAGCAGCGGCCTGAGCTATATCTGGGCCTCTTTGAGCCATGGCTGGAACTGGAGAGGCTAGGATACAGGGAGCAGTGTCCTGAGGCTTCTCAGGGGAGTGAGCCCTTGAGCCTGGCCTGGCCTGCAGAACCATTCAGTCCTTCTAGGCCTCTGGGCCTGTGACAAGAGTGGCTGCTCAGAATGTCTCTGAAATGCCTTCGAGGCTTTCCCCCTATGCCCAGTTTCTGCAGCCTTCTTGAATTCTTCCCCCGAAAATGGGCTTTTCTTTTCTACCACATGGCCAAGCTGCAAATTTTCCAAACATTTATACTCTGCTTCCCTTTTAAATATATAAGTTTCAACTTCAGGTCATTTCTTTGCTCATGCATATGAGCATAGGTTGTTAGAAGCAACCAGATCACATCTTGAACACTTTGCTGCTTAGAAATTTCATCCACCAGATACTCTAAATCATCTCTCAAATTCAGAGTTCTACAGATCCCTAGAGCAGGGGCACAGTCCAACCGAGCTCTTTGCCAAGGTGTAACAAAAGTGACCTTTGCTGCATTTCCCAATAAGTTTATTTCCATCTGTGACCTCCTCAACCTGGACTTCATTGTCCATATTACTATCAGCATTTTGGTCACAACAATTTAACAAATCTCCAGGACACAATTTTTGTCACCTTCCTGCCTTTTTCTGTGCCCTCCAAGCTGTTTGAAATTCTGCCCCTTACGCAGTTCCAAAGCTGCTTCTACATTTTAAGGTATCTTTATAGCAGTGCCCCACTCCTCAGTCTCACTTTGCTATAAAGAAATATCAGACTGGGTAACTTATAAAGAAAAGAGGTTTAATTGGCCCATGGTTCTGCAGGCTGTACAGGAAGCATTATGCATCTGCTCAGCTTACCATCATGGCAGAAGGTGAAGAGAGCAGGTTCATCCACATGGATGGAGCAGGAGCGAAAAAGAGAGAGTGGGGAGGCACCACACACTTAACTAGATCTCGTGAGAACTCAATCACTATCATGAGAACAGCACCAAGGGGTAAATCACTCCTGTGATCCACCCACCTCCCAGCAGGCCCCACCTCCAACATTGGGGATTACAGTTCAGCATGAGATTTGGGCAGGCACACTGATCCAAACCATATTACCATCTTTCTTGAATAAGCAGTAGCATTACACACACATGCTTTTCCTGTTTTGTTTTACTTTATGTACTAGTAATCTCTCCTGAGTGGTGTAAATAGAAATTACTTATTTCTTTTTACAGCTTACTGTGGAGATTAAATTTTAGATTACATCCTTTTAGAGATGCTATGTGAGGCTAAGGAAGTAGATGAGATCAATCCCTATAATAAAAAACTACAGAATCAGAGGAAGAAGGGTGGGATCCAGTGACAGTCAGGCTCTCTGATAGGAGGATTGGCAGGTATTAAGGAATTCACATGATTTCTAGGAAGCAGGAGTCAGTGGTATCAAGTGATGTTAGAAAGACTGAAGATGATAAGACCAGAGAAAAGGTAGATTTTGGTTTATGGACCTATCAAGTATTTGGAATTTGGTTAGTGTCAACCACTGAGTGAAGTGGAAAAAATTTTTGCTGTCAAACCTGTTCTCATCTCCACATCCCACTTCCAGCAACCCTCACCAAAGCCACTGAAAAATCCTCCTAGCTTGTCATTATACAGAAACGCTTTTGCTCCTTTTGTAATTTGTTCTCTATATTGTAGCCATTGTGACATAAAAATTCAAATCTGGCCATGTCACTTTCTTAAAAGCTTTTAATAGGCTTATTTGGAGAAACACCAAAATTGTCTTGTGACTCCACTTAATCTGGCCCCTGTCTCTTGTCCTAGCTTCTCTTGCCAGTCTTCCCCTCAGTCGCACCACTTCAGTCATACTTGCCTTCGTTCAGTTCTTTGAACCTGCTTGCTCTTCTTGCCTGGGACTTTTTCTACATGCTGTTCTCTCTTCCTAGAAGTAAAAACCTTCACTGGGTAATCCCTCTTCATGCTTTCCCTAGCCTTCCAACCCCACTAAAATGAGATCCATTTCTTCATCATACGTTCTTACAACTTTCTGTATATTTCCTTTATGGTAATTCTCAGTTTGTAGTTATATATTGATATGCTTATTCTAATAATGTGCATCTGCCTCACATTTAATCTTCACAACTACTCGGTAATATCTGTATCATTACCCTCATATTAAAGATGAGTATTCTATGTAACCTGCCCAAGACCACTGAGCTAGTAAGTGAGGGAACTGGGATTTGAACCTGCAGTATTTACAAGACTATAGTTATCATATGGGCAGGGACCGCATTTGCTTTTCCTGACTGTTCTGTTCTCACACCTAGCATAATGTTTGGGAAATACCTAGTTGAAATATTTGGGATGCTGAATTAAGGAGAAAATGTACTTATATTCTTGTCTCTGCACAGTATTTTCATTTCATATGTGTATAATGTAACACACAATGTCAGTTTAAAATTTCCCAACACCATTAGCAGGCTAACTGATTTAGCCCGATATGGTTGGTGTATCATGTATATATAGCTCGTGATAGGACCAGCTTTTCATTTTCTCAAAAATTCATGTGCCATGGTTCTTTTGTCAGGTGTGTACAAGCTGTGAGGACAACGCAGAAGCTAATGGGTTTTGTGTGGAGTGTGTTGAATGGCTCTGCAAGACGTGTATCAGAGCTCATCAGAGGGTAAAGTTCACAAAAGACCATACTGTCAGACAGAAAGAGGAAGTATCTCCAGGTAATACATGAGTTATTTTCTTTTTTTTTCTTCTATCTTTCCCCGTCTTTTCTTCCTTCCTGTATTGACTTGTTTTGACACTTTTATTTTGATTAAGTATTAAATATATACTCTTAAGTAAAAGAGGTTTATATTATAATTGAAATTTAAATACTTAAAAATGTTGGAAAATGTGAATAGATGTAGAACCCTGTTTTACATTCATACTGCATGTCCTCCTGCTTCTATAAATGTCTTCAACTGGTGTGAATATAGAACAAATGGAGAAAAAAATTGCTTTTTCTTATTTTTCTTTTATCTCTAAGGTAACAACAAAGAGTGGGCTTAAATATTTTATAACTCTTTTTCTTTTGATATTCTTGTTGCAAACCTGCATCATGATTATTTGTCTGATATGTGGATAGCCAGAGAGGCTTTTTTATGTAATTATTATTTCTGGTTTTATTGTCTTGTTTTTAATGTACAGTTCACTCATATATTTTTTATTTGGTAAAATACATGCAACATAAAATTTGTCATTTTAACTATTAAATGTACAATTCAGTGGCATTTATTACATTTACGCGTTGTGCAAGCATCACTACTATTTTCAAAACTTGTTTATCACCCCAATCAGCATCTTTGTACCCTTTAAGTAATAACTCCAATTTTCTGGCTGGACGCAGTGGCTCATGCTTGTAATCCCAGCACTTTGGGAGGCTGAGGCGGGTGGATCACGAGGTCAGGAGATTGAGACCATCCTAGCTAACACGGTGAAACCCCATCTCTACTAAAAACGTACAAAAAAATTAGCCAGCCATGGTGGTGGGCGCTTGTAGTCCCAGCTACTCGGGAGGCTGAGGCTGGAGAATGGCATGAACCTGGGAGGCGGAGCTTGCAGTCAGGTCGCGCCACTGCACTCCAGCCTGGGTGACAGAGGGAGACTCCGTCTCAAAAGAAAAAAAAAATAATAACTCCGTTTTTCTTCCCCTAGCTCCTGGTAACTTCAAACCTATTTTCTTTTTTGTGAGACTGAGTCTTGCTTTGTCACGCAGGCTAGCTGTAGTGCAGTGGCGCGATCTCAGTTCACTGCAACCTCTGCTACCTGGGTTCATGCTATTCTCCTGCCTGTAACTGGGATTACAGGTGTGCGCCACCATGCGTGGCTAATTTTTGTATTTGTAGTAGACACGGGGTTTTACCATGTTGGCCAGGCTGGTCTCGAGCTCCTGACCTCAAGTGATCCGCCAGCCTTGGCCTCCCAAACTACTGGGATTACAAACATGAGCCACTACACTCAGCCTTTATTTTCTGTCTCTGTAAATTTGCTGATTCTGGATATTTCACACAAGTGGAATCACATGGTATTTGTTCTTTGATATCTAACTTATTTTACTTAGTGTAATATTTTAAGGATTCATCCATGTAATAGCATGTACCAAAATGTAGCAAAACCTTTTTTTTTGTGTTTGTTGTTTGAGACTAGTGAAAGACTTGGTATAATACCAGCACTTTGGGAGGCCGAAGTGGGATGATTGCCTGAGCCCAGGAGTTCTAGACCAGCCTTGGCAACATGGCGAAACCCTATCTACAAAAAAAAGAAAATTAGCTGGGCGTGATAGTACATGCCTGTAATCCCAACAACCTGGGAGATGAGATGGTGGGAGGACCGCTTGAACCAAGGAGCTCGAGGCTGCAGTGACCTGTGATCATTGCCATTACACTCCGCTTGCACGACAGTATGAGATCCTGTCTCAAAAAAAAAAAAAAAAAAAAAAAAAAAAATTGCATTGCTGGAGTTAATTCCATATTTCATCTTGATGTGTTGTGCTTTTAATATAATATATTACCGATTTTCTCTATCTGGTTATTTTCATTTTCATTCTGAATTCTACGTGTTTACATATTTGTATCTTCAGAAATACTTCTTGAATTTATTTATCTAATTATCAGTTTTATATGTTTTAGTTCATTAATTTTATCTGTAATTCCTCTCAGGTTACCTTAGGGTTTTTGCGTGTGTGTTTTGTTTTGTTTTGTTTCTTGAGACAGAATCTCACTCCATGACCCAGGCTGGAGTGCAGTGATGCGATCTCGGTTCACTGCAAGCTCCACCTCCCGGGTTCAAGCAATTCTCCTGCTTCAGCCTCCCAAGTGCCTGGGATTATGTAATCTCTGTGCCACCATGCCTGGCTAATTTTTGTATTTTTAGTAGAGATGGGGTTTCACCATGTTGGCCAGGCTGGTCTGGAACTCCTGACCTCAAGTGATCCACCCGCCTTGGGCTCACAGAGTGCTGGGATTACAGATGTGAGCCACCATGCCTGGTATAGGCCAGCATACTAGTTTGTCAGTTTTGACACTATTGACATTTTGAGCTAGATAATTCTTTATTGCTGGGTACTGATTTGTGCATTATTTAAAAAAAAGAAATGCAAATGGCTAATTACTGAACATTGTTTCATTTCAGTTATTAAAGAAATGCATTCTAGGATAGTGACGTATGTGTCTTCTCTCTTTCTCTCTTTCTGTCTCTTGCATTTATTAAATTGTCAAAGATGAAAAATTTTGAGAGTTCCCCCTGTTAATATGGTTAATAGCCACTCTACACTGGTTGGAGTACAAATTGGCACAATTATTTAGCTTTTCTCTGTATAAATTACCCTTTAACAATTCTACCACTAGGAATTTATCTTATGGAAACATTTAAATGATTTATAATTTTCATATGTTTATTTCAGCATTATTTGCAGTACTGAAAAATGAATAACTTACAATTGTCCTTAGCAAGCGGTATAGTGGTTTATCTATTTTGTGAAATACTGTACAGTTAATAAATAAGAAATGAGGTGGATATATATACTAATACAGAAAGGCATCTAAGGTAGAGTTAAGTGAGGAAAAAAAAATCTTTAAAAGACAATATATGTACTGCCATTTATTGTTTTATAAAATGTAACACTGCACTATACTATATGTACTTCCATACTTAGAAAAACAACCAGAGGAATGCACACCAGGTTATTAATAGTAATAATCTCTGGAGGTAGGATTATTTCTGAAATGTTTGGATTTTGCCTTTAATTGTTAGTAAGATAACTGAGGTTTACTATTTAACCATATTTATTCATATTCTGATTTTTTTCACTTAACATGACATAAACATTTTCCAGTTTTATCCCCACACTGGAAAACTAGAGTATAATAATGAAAATATTATTATTTCTGTGTTAATGGGTATCCTCTGTTAGGATTTTTACAAAAGTAGGTTATTTGACTACTCCTTTTAGACATTGTTATTATATTTTCTTTCTCCCTCCCTCTCTTTCCATCTCTTTCTCTGCCTCTCTGTCTCTGTCTATGAGGTCTTACAATGTTCCCAGGCTGGACCCAAACTCTTGGTGCTCAAGCAACTGATCCTTTCAACTCAGCTTCCTGAATAGCTGAGACTACAGGTGTGGGCCACTGTGCCCTGCTGGATTTTCCAAATTGCATTTTCAAAAAATCTCCTCCCATATTTGGGATAGAAGACATCCAGGTGGTTCACACTCATTTACCAGGGCTGTCTTCTTAAGGCTTTTTAATGCAATAAAACATATTTTTAACTACACACTTAGTTCTTTCATTTACTTCTGAATTAATTTTAATTTCTTCCTGGAAAATGAAAAGGTTATTTGCTTTTTTCCCTGAAATGCTGACAATATGTGATATCTTAATATCTGTAATTCTTAGTGAAAGTTATGGTATAGGTGAAGCTGTAGTGTTTATATCAATAGATGTGAATTCAAATGGGCAATCAAATAATTATTTACTATTCAATTATGTTCATTTTCTTCTCTCTGTCTCCCATTGTTTCTGCAGAGGCAGTTGGTGTCACCAGCCAGCGACCGGTGTTTTGTCCTTTTCATAAAAAGGAGCAGTTGAAGCTGTACTGTGAGACATGTGACAAACTGACATGTCGAGACTGTCAGTTATTAGAGCATAAAGAGCATAGGTACCAGCATCTTTGGTTATGTATATAGATTCATATGCAGCTTTAGAGGACTAAAGGACTGCTGCCAACCCTCATCAAATGGCAGTCTGCAAATAGGTTTTGTGTAACCAGCAGTATGCTGGCCTATACCAGGGTTTATCAATTTTGACACTACTGACGTTTTGGGCCAGGTAATTCTTTATTGTTGGGGACTGATCTGTGTGTTATATGGTGGTTAGCATCCTTGACCTCTACCAACTAGTTGCCAGTAGCAACCCTCTAACCCTCCCCAGTTGTGACAACAAAATGTGGCTCCAGACATTGGCAACATCCTATGGAGCAAAATCATCCTGAATTGAGAACACTGGCCAACACACTGTTTAAAAATATATAGAACTAGTTGCCAGCATTGTAAAATGGGGAGATTTTACATTTTTTAAATATCTAGATTTTTGGCTTTTTTGAGAAAATGGAAGCTCTTCTAGCCCTGGGTCTGTATACATTCATGTCAACATTTGAGGCATGCCTTTTCCAGTTCATTATAGTTCCTAGCAAAGCTTACTTTTAAATCTCATCTCAACAATCATTCAGGTCAGCAACAGATGATTTAGACAGTAAGATTCAAATCGATACAAAATATAATTGCTTATGATGGTCTAGGCTTCTGATACTGGCAGACTGGATAATTTGGACCAACAGTGAGAATGACTAGAAAACCTGCACAAAATACAGAAATTATCTATATGAAATGCTAGAGCTAATAAAATAGTAAAGCATTATTGGACAGGATTGGGTTGGAGCTGGGGCTAAGGATGGTGGGGGCCTTTTACTCCCCTTGAGGTATTTGCCTAGAGATGAGGAGTAATTTTAATAGGCTCACAGAGCTGAGAAATCACGGCCTGGAGTGCAAGGATCATGCATGGTCAATGTGTCTCCTTGTCTTGAGTTGGTACCCTGAAAGTCTACACTATTACAGTAAAGATAAATTAGCTAGTAAGTAGTTCCTCACAGGGCCTAAAACTCAGCACTTAAAATTGGATTAAAGTGAAGTCATATCGCTGGCTCCTCAAGTTTCCTGGTAGAATCAAATGTAAATCCTTACCAGAAAGACAAAGAAGACATCTAGGCCTCCAACTTAGTCAATAATGAATTTTGGAAAAACGATATTCACAGAATTAGAAATAACCAGGTTTGTTAGGAGATTAGACAATGTGAACATAGTGAGACCCCATCCCAACAAAACATTTGCTGGGCACAGTGGTATGTGCTTGTATTCCTAGCTACTTGAGAGACTGAGGTGCTCCCAACTGAGCTCCTGGGATTGCTTGAGCCCAGGAGTTCAAGGCTGCAGTGATAGTGCCACTGCACTCCAGCCTAAGTGAAAGGATGAGACCCTGTCTTTAAAAAAGAAAGAAAGAAAACCCTGAAAATTACAGTATCTGAAATTAACTCAGTAGAAGGGCTTAAGAACAGATTTGGCATAGCATGAAATGAGAATTAATGAGCTAGAAGAAAATTAAGAAAATATCCAGAAAGAAGCATCATCAAGAGGAGGATGAAAAGTAGAAGACATTGAAGATCTAATATGGATGTACTTGCAGTCCAAGAAGGATGAAAAGTACAGAGAATGGGAAGGAAGCAATATCCGAAGACAGAATGTAATGGCTGAGAACTTTCAGAAGCTGACGAAAGGCATTTAGCCTATATTTAAGAAGTTGCACAAACCTCTAGCAGGATAATTAAGAAAGTAATATTTTTAAAGTGCAAAAATAAAGTAACTTTCAAGTCTAAAATTCTGTACCCAGTAAGCATATTCTTTAAATATGAAGGTGGATGAAAAATGTTTCAGGCAAAATACACTGGGAGAGCATATCCCTGATAAACTCTCACTTAAAGTACCTCTTAGCAGAAGAAAAATAATAGAAGATACAGAAAGGAATATGGAGCAATTAAAATAATAGGTATGAGTAAATCTAAATGAATGTTGACTTAGGAAACTATCTTTTTGGTGTGGTATGTGTATATGTATATCACATAGCAGTAAATGTGCTAAAAGGGTATGGAATTTATGTTCTAAGGTCTGTGCATAATCTAGGAAGAGGGTAAAAAGTGCAAATATTAGATGATATGTAAATATCTGTTTTTGTAATGTCTAGAGTAGTCACTAAAAGAATAATAAGTACATGTAATTACCAAGGTGTGGAGAGTTGTGGGGATGTGGAATAATCAGTATAAACAAAGGCCAAAAAAGTGAGAAAAAGAAATAAAGAACAGATGGAATATAATGAGGCCTTGGTAAGTTGGTAGATCTACAAATATACTATAATTATACTAAATGTGAACAGACAAAATGTTCCAAATTATAAGACAGGTTTCAGACTGGATAGGAAGGAAAATAGAAAAATGTGCTATTTTCTTTTTATGAGAAATATCTAAAAACTCAATATATAAAAGACTTAATGGGAAAAGACACACCATATAAATACTAACCAGAGGCAAAATGGCATAGTAGACAAAATCCATTATTTGAGATAAAGAGGGACACTTTGTAAGGATGAAAGACTCTCTTCATTTAAAAGATATGAGTTGTCAATTTATACAGGTTATAAACTTACAAAAAATGACAGAACTTCAAACTAATAGAAAACTCCATAGTCACAGTGGAAAATCTTACCACTTTACGCAATAATTGAAGCCGAGTAGTGTGGCAGGTACCTGTAAGTGCTAGCTACCTAGCTACTCAGGAAACTGAGGTGGGAGGATGGCTGAAGTCCAGGAGTTTGAGTTCAGCCTGGGCAACATAGCAAGACCTATCTCTAAAAACTAAATAAGTAAATAAACAACACAATAAGCAGACTAAAAAATCGGTAAAGATAGAGAAATAAGGGCCAAGCATGGTGGCTCGCACAAATAAATACATACACACATACGTAACTGACAAAACAAGAAGACTAAAAAATCAGTAAAGATAGAGAAATAAGGGCTGGGCACGGTGGTTCACACCTGTAATCCCAGCTACTCGGGAGGCTTAGGCAGGATAATTGCTGGAACCTGGGAGGTGGAGGTTGCAGTGAACAGAGATGGCACCATTGCACCCTGGCCTAGGTGACAAAAGCAAAACTCCATCTCAAAAAAAAAAGATAAATAAGATTGAATAACACAATTAACATAACGTCGTATGGACATTATGGAACACTGTACCCCAAAATATACATTCTTACAATAAAATATTTTTAACTGACCATATGCTAAAGTCTTAAATTTGGAAAGATAGAAAGATACTATATATTTGGAAATGAAATTCTTGTGATAACTAAAGTCTGCTGATACATGATCCTGGAATTCTGGTTTAAAGGAAAAAAGTATTTAGAAGACATTATTGAGTCAAATGATACAAGTAAGAAGCATGGTCTATAGGTTAAAGTACTGTAACAAGGTCAGTTTTTTTTTTTTTTAACTTTGCTATGAATACATAAGAAAATCCTTGTTTTTAGGAAATGCACACTTAATTTATTAAAGGGTTAAAGGGCTATGAGGAGGCAAACTAAAAAATTGATTAATCTGTATAAGGAGATATGTGATCTCTATATACTTGGAAATTTAACTTTGAAATTATTATAAAATAAGCAGTTTAATACATTTAAATCATCAACAAGGAATTCCAGTAGATATTAGAAAACATTTTGATTTGAATAGTAGTGAAAATATCAGTCAATCAAGCCTTGAGGTTTTTCTTTTTAATAACTGAAGCCATATTTGGAGGACAGTTTATATTATTAAATGCATATGTTGTATGTTAAGGATAAAGTCAATTCACTAAACATTTATTGCAGTTTAGGAAAAGTAGCAGATTAAACCCAAAGTAAGTGTGTTTTAAAAGAAACATAATAAAGACAAGTGTAGAAATAGTCAAAGCCAAAAATTCAGTCTTTCAAAAGACTACTAAATAATCAACAATTCTCTGTACGAGTGATTGAGAGAGCAGGCCCAAATAACCACTACCAGGAGTAGGAAGGTGGCGTTACTCCATATTTCAAATGTTATAATGAAAATTTTTACATGATATTGGAAAACTCTTAGAAAATGAAGTTTTTACCAAAACTTATGCTAAATACAATAGAAAGAATAGTCCTTTAATGTTCATTCATAATTTAAAACCTTCCCACAAAGAAAATTACACATGCAAATGACACCAATAAATGTACCACATAGTTAAGGTAAAAATAGCCCCTTTTGGCCTGGCGCGGTGGCTCACACCTGTAATCCCAGCACTTTGGGAGGCCAAGGCGGGCAGATCACAAGGTCAGGAGATCGAGACCATCCTGGCTAACATGGTGAAACCCCGTCTCTACTAAAAATACAAAAAATTAGCCAGGCGTAGTGGCAGGCACCTGTAGTCCCAGCTACTCGGGAGGCTGAGGCAGGCAAATGAACCCGGGAGGCGGAGCTTGCAGTGAGTCAAGATTGCGCCACTGCACTCCGCCTGGGCTACAGAGCGAGACTCCGTCTCAAAAAACAAACAAACAAAAAAGCCCCTTTCTTATACAGACTTGTCCGGAGAATGGCAAAAAAAATGAATTCTTTCCAACTTGTTATATGAAGCCAGCATAACTTTTACACCAAAACTGACAAGGAATAGAAATGAAAAATTACAAGCCAGTTTCACCCATGAAATGAATGTGAAAATTCCAAGAAATGGAAAATAAGTAGAAAACAGATGATTTGAGAGGAGGGGAAAACTTGCCTTAAATCTCGTAGTATTGTCATTTTTGGACAGTGTAATCACAACCAATTTGGCCTCATTTTGGGGATACAGAATTCATTTAACATGCCAAAATCATTGATGCTAAAACCTTTCATGTCGTATTAAAAGAATAAAGGAAAAAGTATATGCCTATCTTAATAGAAGCAGTAGAAACATTCCATAAAAATTAAATATACATTCCTAACATCTTAGCAAACTAGAAATAAAAAAAGAATTTCCTAAGCCTGATAAAGATTATTTATGGAAAGTAGAAAACGTACTTAATATTGGAATATTGAAAGTCTTTGCATTGAGGTGAGGAACAACATAAGGCTGACCATTTTGACCATTTAATGTAACCTTATATTAAATAAGTGTAGTAAAGAAAAAGTTTACTAAGATAAAAAAAACTTGAGTTGCCTATGAAAGTGTTTGAAATGTTATTATTCACAGATATGATTATGTACAAAGGAAATCCAATGTAATTATTAACTGGGTATCCCCTTTTTCTAACTGGCAGCCCTACTTAATTACATGTAAACATTTAAAATCACATTATATAAAATACGTTAATTTAGAAATGTTGTATTTTGTACATTTTATAGGAAAACTTAAATCAAACTCTTGATATGTATCTTCTATATCATTGCCTTTCTATCTTCTCTAGAACTTCTCTTCAGTTATCAAACATAGTCTGGCAAAGTAAATGATCTTTCCTCACTTACAAATTGGAAACTTTTTAAAGTGCTATATCTTATTATACTGTTGCTTAAAGTTTTATCACAAGGCATAACGTCTAGAATTTTGCCCTTCTCTCTCTGTATTTATCCCGATTTTTCTTTGCGGCCGCTAGAACATAACTACCTATTATTTAAAAGTGGTCTTTTGAAATGTTTGTTTTCAGCAGGCTTGCATAATGTAGAAATTGCAATATAGTTAATAAGTCAGATTATATATCATTGACTATTTTTTGCCAAGTCCACCAAGTGAAAGTGAACTCTGTAAGCTTATAAAACTGAGTGATGGATGCACGTGGTTCTCAAACTTTCAAAATATTTACGTGTCCATAATCTTTCTTGAAGGATAATTTGAGAGGTGGGGAAAACTTGCTTTATTAGGGATACATTTGATGTTTTAAAAGATTGTTATATAAATTCTTTATAATCCTATTTTATGTTTTTATCAGTCTTTTTATTCTTGGACTTTTCCTCATTATATGTTTTTATATGAAATAATTTGCTTATTTCTTCAGATATCAATTTATAGAAGAAGCTTTTCAGAATCAGAAAGTGATCATAGATACACTAATCACCAAACTGATGGAAAAAACAAAATACATAAAATTCACAGGAAATCAGATCCAAAACAGGTAATTTTATGGTATTATATAATCATTTTTATGTAATTTGTGAAGTATATTCACTTTTAGAACATTTTCCTTAACTCACAGTTAAGTAATAAGTTGTTAGATGACAGCAATAACACATGGTTGATAAGACTTTCCCAGAAACTTAGTTGGAAAGCATTCTTTTCTGCTGTAAAATTTCAAAACTCATATGATAATAAACTACATTTAGTATTTTGATAGCTCATTTATCTAATAGGTATTGATAACTTATTATCACTTATTTTCCAATTTTAAAGAAATACCAAGATTTAAATGCAAAACCAACCATTTTGTGCCAGTATTGTAAAATATTTTAACACTTAAATGAACCCTGAATTGTTATTTTAAGGTTTGCTGAAATTTGAGATGCCTGCCTTATGCTGTGATTTTTTAAAACTGCAAACAGGTGGAAATTTTAAGACACTAGGATACAGGGATTGTTAAACTGTTCCACACACTTTTTACTTCTTGCCTGATAAAACGCTTACTTAAACAATTACTTATTATGCCTTTTGTCCTGGTAAGAAAATCATCAACTGTCCAAAGTCTTAGACATCAGTGGCCGGGGAGAACCACTAACCTCCGTGGAGCAGGGGCAGCTGAAGGTGTTGTCTAACCCCTTTTTAAATCCCATGTAGGGCACATACTGACATTTAATTTATACACCTACGAAATCCCATGACCTCTTCTGTTGTTTTACACACAAAAGAAATGTCACTGCCTACATAAGTCAAGAAATGTTCATTAGAATGAGCCAGAGTAAAAGAGACCTCACAGAGAATTTAAATGTTTTCCCATGTATCAGTTGTGTCAGCCTTTAAGACAGTCATCAATCTGTTATTATCATTTTGGAACACAACTGGGGGTGAAGCATTTGGAAATTTTTTAAGGTAATGCATTCCCTGTATTACCTGATTTCCTTAAAAGAGATTTTTAAACATAATTTTACTAGTTCTTGATACCCCAGCATCATTATTGTATCTATTTATTATTATGCCCCTTTTTTTTTTTCTTTTTTTTGAGACAGAGTCTCACTCTGTCACCCAAGCTGGAGTGCAGTGGTGCGATCTCAGTTCACTGCAACCTCTGCCTCCTGGGTTCAAGCAATCTTCCTGCCTCAGCCTCCCAAGTAGCTGGGATTACAGGTGCCCACCACTGTGCCCAGCTAATTTTTGTATCTTTAGTAGAGATGGGGTTTCACCATGTTGGCCAGCCTGGTCTCGAACTACTGACCTCACGTGATCCACCCACCTCAGCATCCCAAAGTGCTGGGATTACAGGTATGAACCACCATACCCGGCCCTGTTTTTTACCTTTCTCTTTGACACAACTATAGTTAATGAATACTATTTCCTTTATTTACCATATTCTAATCGGAATAGTATATTTTGCCAAGTAGAATAATTGGTGGGTTTAAAATTTTTTTATTCTGAGTAATTGAAAATTAGTAATGAATATTTATTGAATGATGAAGAGAGATAATTATAGGCATTTCTACCATCTAGTGGCAAAAGGTAGCAATTGTAAAATAATTAATTTTAAATTAAAGATCTGCCCTTAATGAAATTTATCCCTTTGACTTTTTTCTTACTGTTTCACTGAGCATATGGTTTGAGTTATGGTCAAAGTTTACATTTTTTTAATGTATGGATGTCAATTTCCCCCACTATCATTTGTTGAAAAAACTGTTTCTCTGTGGGATTATTATTCTGTTCCATTGTGTTTTTCTCATTGCTAGTACTTCACTTTCATGATCTTGATCATCGTAGCTTTTTATAGTAAGTCTTAAGATAGTGTTCTTCAAATTTGTTCTCTTATTTTTGTAAAGTGATTTGTGCTTTATTTCTTCTACAAAATTATAACATTGTGTGTAACAATTTTGATTTCTGAATTGAGGCAAAAATTAAAGAATCTTTGTTAAGTGCAAATTGCTTATATATCTTTATAACCTATCTGATTATAAAAGGGTACATTTATTAGAGTAACTGATATTCATTTTTATGCATTTGCCCCCATGCCACTGTTTTTCCCTTATTCATCCTATTCCACCATCATGAATACTTAAATGAGTTTTTTGAGATTGGTTGCTTCTCAGACTTATCTGGTTCCCTTGATCCTGTAGTAATGTTGATGTCAAATAATTATCTTGAAGAATTTCCAGCAGGAAATAAAGTTTCTGCCAGTTTGGTTTTAAGTTTTGGAGGGTAACTATGGGAGAAGCTTGCAGAAGAAATTAAGCTTTTAATTTAATCTCACAAAGTTTGGCGTATGCTCTGTTATTTTCTATAACATTCTGGTGTGGTACCGTATGTTTTTCTTTCTGTAAGAGTGTTGCGGGAATCAGGAGACTGGAGAGACCAGTAGGTAGAACAGGAGGATTTTATTGAGTGTACTCAGACCCAGCGGATTAACAGCCAAAGACTGGGCCTAGAACAAAGACCGGACTTGGCTTTTATACACAATTCTAAAAGAGGGTGGGCTACTTTGAAACAAGCTTACAGTGGCGTGAAGCATAGTGGCACGAAAGCTCAGGTACAGAAGCAGAACAAAGGCAGTTAATCATACTTTGACAGGTTCATAACTCAGACTTACATATGATTCTTGCTATGCGGCTTAGATGGCTGTTACCTAGGGTTGCTCTAGTGCCTTGCACGGACTTATCTCATAACCTTCACTATGGTGTCTGGATGGCTACAATCCAGGCCTGCTCAGGCATGTCTCATGACCTTCGCTGAGCTGCTTAGATAAAACAATACTTAAAGTTACTAGTTATAGAAAACAGGAATCAATAAACTCATAAGTTTACTCATACCATAGGAGAAAGGAAAATAAAGAAAATTTGTTTTTTTCTTCTCCCCATGTTGAGGGAGTGCTGGGAGAGTCTTCAGAGCACATTCCTTTGAGCCCTAGTTTCTTAGATAATATTATCAAGACTTTCCTGGGTCTGGGCTGTGCCTATTTCTGCCTCTGGGATAAGTCAGCCTAATACAGGAAAGCTTGTTTTTCAAACTTGCTTTTCTCTTTTTAATTTTATTTTTCTTTTTTTCTTTAATTTCCCACCTCAAGAGAGGTATGTAGTTGATAAAACATGGTTATTTGGCTGCTAATTTTGCAAAGAATGGGTTAAGTAGCAAACTAGTATTTTTGTCTTTTTCTACTTAGGTGTGTGAATACTGTAGCAGTTAAGATTACTAAGAAAAGAGTATCACATGTACACTTTTCTAGCTTTTGGTTGCAATTAATATAGTAGAACTTGTTCAGAATCATGGTTTATAAATCCTTTTTAGTCCACCCCCACCCCCCATCCTTTTAGGTAGAGCATTGATTTTCCTGGGTGTCATCATAATTTTTCCAAACTGTATTTTCTTAAAATGTACTCATTCTTTTCTAACTCTATATATTTTTAAGATTCAAGACTTAATTTTAAGATTAAGTGGTGATATCTTTCAGAAGAATTATATTTCTGCTGTCTCATCTTCAAGACAGTCAATTTAAAGTGAAGGACTTAGAAATAGCAGAGCTTCTAAGGGCTGAAAACATTTTGGTCTAATGTAGACATTAAAACATCAATTTTAAATATTATACAAAAAAATCTGCCTTATGTTTTTCCCCCTTTTAATTTTCAGAATTATTGAAGTAAATCAAAATCAAAAGCAGGTGGAACAGGATATTAAAGTTGCTATATTTACATTGATGGTAGAAATAAATAAAAAAGGAAAAGCTCTACTGCATCAGTTAGAGGTAAGTGACTGCCCATGGGATAGTATATTGATTCAACATAGTATTTCCTAAAGTACTGTGAAGTAGAAATCATAGTGCTTTTAATATAATTGTTTCATTTATGATTCAATACTTTTTTTCCCCACTCCCAAGTTTTCCTTTGCTGGATTTTTTTATTGTAGCTGACAATTTAAAACTTTATAATACACTGTGAATGTCTGACGACTGATTGTTTTCTTTATAGCACAAATTATAATGCCTTGCTTGTAGGAGGATCTCTGAATGTTAAACAGATGAGTTATTTTTGAGATTAACTGAAGTGACAACTTTGCATCATAAGGGGGTTTAGTGGAGCGAAATTTTCTAGAAAGATACACTTCAGTTTAGTTCTCAAGTATATATATTCAACCCTGTGAGAAGTTAGGTGAAAGAGTACGGCTAGCCCTGCCCTCAACATTTTATAATTCTAATTGCGAGAGCAGCACTTGGGGAGATATGCCCAAGGCACTTAGTTGTTTCTCACTGCAGATAAGAAAAACATTACTATCTTCCTCAGCTTTTTAAAACTCCATGAAGGTCAAGATCCAAACTTTTGTTTTTCCTTCAAATAATAGAAAGTTGTAACACCTACATGATACATTAATCTATAATATTAATTGCATGATTTTTAGGTATTCCTTTAGTATGTTGACATAGAAAGCATATTGATACAGTAAAGAAGCAAATGAGAAAATAATAAAAGAATCCTAATGTTTGAAGATTTGAGGAAAAAATAAGACTTCTAGAAATAATTTAGATAATCTTCTTTATGTCATAGTTTGCCAAATTATAAGGTTTCTGTCAGAAAGTTCTATCCCTTCTGGGAAAGCATGGTCATTCCTGTGTATTACCAGCTATACAGGAAACAAAGACTAAAATAATTCTCTGTTCTTTTGGAAATGTAGTTATTTAGTGAGGAAGTATTCTGGGCAGGAAGAATCAGACCCCATTTATAGTAACTATTTGTTTAAGGTCTGTGACTTAAAAAAAAAAAAAAATTTAAGTAGAAATTTAAGTTTCTAAAACTGCTTAAAATCAAATATCACTTTGATTTGCTTTCCCAGATACTACTAGTGCATACATTACTATGTCTGTGGTTTCAAACTTGACTGTGTACATCAGAATCACTTGAAGAGCTTTACAAAGAAAATGCAAATATGTAAGAATGAACCTGGTCAGTATATATCTACTGATGACCAGGTTCATTCTTAAAAAATAATTTTTTTTTGAGACACGGTCTCGCTCTGTTGCCCAGATGGAAGTGCAATAGCATGAATCATGGCTCACCACAGCCTCCACCTCCTGGGCTCAGGTGATCCTCTCATCACAGCCTCTCGAGTAATTAGGACTACAAGTGTATGCCACCATGCCTGGCTAATTTTTTTTTTTTTTTTTTTTTTGAGAGAGGGGGTTTTGACACGTTGGCTCAGGCTGGTCTCAAACTCCTGGGATCAGGCAGTCTGCCTGCCTCAGCCTTCCAAAGTACTGACATTACAGGTATGAACTACCCCACCTCCCCCCCCGGCTTTTTTTTTTGAGACAGTGTTTTACTTTGTTCTCCAAGCTTGAATGCAGTGGTGTTTTCACTGTAGCATTGACCTCCCGAGCTCGAGCAGTCTTCCCACCTCAGCCTCCTGAGTAGCTGTGCAACCACACCTGACTAATTTTTTATTTTTGTAGAGATGAAGTCTCACTCTAGTGAATTTTCTTATTTTACTTTTTAGAGACAAGGTCTCAGTTTGTCATCTAGGCTCGAGTGTAGTGGTATGGCCTTGGCTTACTGTAGCCTCAAACTCCTGGGAAACTGGGACTACAAGCAATCCTCCTGACTGAGCATCCTGAGAAGCTGGGACTACAAGGCATGTGCTGCCACTCCTGGCTAATTTTTTTTTTTTTTGTAAAGATGTGGTCTCGCTATGTTGCCCAGGCTGGTTGGAGTCCCTTTTAAAGGCAAATAAACATAACCCCTTTTATCTGTTAAGACTCATAAGAAATTGGCTGAAATAGATATTTAGGATAGAAGGCCAAAAAACCAGGGCTTCTGATTCTTAATTCTCAACCTCTTCAAAGTAAACAATTTCTATTCCTACTAGAATGTTTCCAAAGAAACACTTAATAAATTTTTACAGAGGTCAAAAATAGCCTACTAGGCAAATTACTGTCTCTCTGAACTTAAATTACATATGGCAAAGTCATTGGCCGTTACCAGTCCCTCAGACAGACAACTGCAATTTCCCCCTTAACTCAGTGTAGCTCAAGTGTATTTTCCAAATCTGGAACTGACTAGGGCCAGGATCTGGGTTCACTTTTTATTGAGAATGTAAGTCTATGTTGTAGTATAGCAATTTTAGTTTTAAACTTTTCTAATTTATCTGAGACAGTAGAAAGTCCTGTTCTCCTTTTTCCTTGCTAGATCTAGGATGAGGTTTTTGGATAGGAACCTTTAAAATACCCAAGTTCAGTGTGCTCTACTTTTGATTATCTGCCTTCCCTAAGGAAAGTACATACATACTTCCCTTAGAGAAATCTATATTATTTTATGTAGCTTTTCTTAAAGTGCATTGGCACAATCGTGCATCTGTTGGCTCCCATGTTAATTCTCAATAGACAGAAATAATGTGATGCCTTTTAAAAAAATTACCACATACAAAGGATAAGTGTCATCTACAACACAGCATGACTCTGTTTTGCACAAACTACTTGCAATTGCAACTGTGAAGTAGAATCCCTAAAAGGTGAAATCATATGATTGAGTAAATTACGTGATTGAGTTACTTTACAGGTTTGCTGGATAGTACATCTGTCTTATTTGTGAATGTTGAATTTCATAGGCTTTTACTGTATTATAGCTAATCTATCCTTTTTTATGTATTGTAAGATGCACGAACAGAGTTAACTCCCAGAATACGTAAGGCCCCTGATCCAGGGTCTTGAGGGCTGAGGGGCCACATTTGGGATGCAGTTTTTTGCTATAGTGAAAATGATCCTTTGTACTAATAGGGAAAACACTAAGAGTATTTTTAGTTTCAGTAAATTGAGTACTTAGAGATTGTAGTTATTCTAATTTGTTTACCTGGAAATGACCATTGAAGTCTATATTACGTGCTGATACTAATTTTGAAATTATTTTCTTGTTTTCAGAGCCTTGCAAAGGACCATCGCATGAAACTTATGCAACAACAACAGGAAGTGGCTGGACTTTCTAAACAATTGGAGCATGTCATGCATTTTTCTAAATGGGCAGTTTCCAGTGGCAGCAGCACAGCATTACTTTATAGCAAACGACTGGTAAGATAAAGTATGCTATTTAATATACTGTATAAATGCACAGTAAAACAATGGAGCCATTGTAATGCTTAAAATTTATTCTGCTTGTGCGTTAATGCTTTTTACCTATTTCTAATATTTATCAAAATATTTTGGTTTAAATATTTTTACCTGGCATAATTTGGGTGTAATTTCAGTTTTAATTTGTCATGAATTCCTTCTTTGTTCTTTCCAAGTATTCACTGTCTTCATAGCAATTGAACTTGATACCAAAAATAAGGACGATAGTGAACATTTTCTGATTACCTATAGTGTGCCAGGTACTAATTCTAAGAATTTCCATGTAATATATAAACTTTTACATTATTCTTGTGAGATACACCTATTCACCTCCATTGTACACATGATGAAACTAAGGCATGTGATTATGTAACATGTCTAACATCACACAATAAGAGGTATAGCCAGGGTTTATAATATGATCTCAGACATGACCTGAGCCTGTGTTATTGTTGGTGCTACACGGCAATCTGTGGTATTGGATGTTTTTGCCACAGAAAAATAGCTCTGTGATTTGGTGAACTATTTGACACTGGTCTAGAACCTTGCTACTTAACATGTGACTACCACATCACTTGAGGATTCTGGTCAGGAGGTCTGGGGTGGGGCTTGTGAATTTCTAACAAGCTTGCAACTGACGCTGATGCTACTTGGTCTGTGGGCTGTGCTTTGAGTAACAAAGATATAGAAGACATTTAGCTACATTCTTTAAAATTCCTGCTTTACATTCATCTTATTAAAGATTCAACAGAGATTTATACTCCAAAGTATACTATAAACCGTAGGTTCAGTTCCAGACTATTGCAATAAAGCAAATATCATAATAAGCCTAGCTATACAGTTTTTTTTTAAGTTTTCCAGTGCATATAACTGTGCAATAGTATTATGTTTTTAAAAAAACAAGTATATACCTTAATTAAATAATCCTTTTTTTTTTTGGGAGACAGAGTCTCGCTCTGTCACCCAGGCTGGAGTGCGGTGGCGCCATCTCTGCTCACTGCAAGCTCTGCCTCCCGGGTTCACGCCACCATTCTCCTGCCTCAGCCTCCCGAGTAGCTGGGACTACAGACGCCTGCCACCACGACTGGCTAATTTTTTGTATTTTTAGTAGAGACGGGGTTTCACCGTGTTAGCCAGGATGGTCTCGATTTCCTGACCTCATGATCTGCCCGCCTCGGCCTCCCAAAGTGCTGGGATTACAGGCGTGAGCCACTGCACCCTAAAGAATACCTTATTGCTAAAAATGTTAATCATCTGAGCCTTCAAGAGTCAGTCTTTTTGCTGATAGAGATATTGATGGCTACTGGGATTGTAGTTGCTGAAGGTTGGGATAACTGTGGCAGTATCTTAAAATAAGATGACAAGTTTACATTGATTGACTCTTTTTTAATGAAAGATTTCTGCATAGCATGCAATGATAATTTGATAGCATTTTACCTACAATAGAACTTCTTTCAGAATTGGAGTCAGTCCTCTCAAAGCTTGTAGCTACAGTATCACCTAAGTTTATGGAATATCCTAAATTCTTTGTTGTCATCTCAACAATGATCACAGCATCTTCACCAGGAGTAATTTCTATCTCAAGAAACTACTTTTCTGTGCTCATCCGTAAGAAGCAACTGTTCATCCATTCAAGTTGGATCATAGGATTGCAGCAATTCAGTCACATCTTCAGGCTCTACTTCTAATTCCAGTTCTTTTGCTGTTTCTATCACATCTGTAGTTCCTTCTTCACTGCAGTCTTGAATTCCTCCAGTTCATCCCTAAAGGTTGGAATCAACTTATTCCTGACTCCTGTTAATATTGGCATATTTATCTCCTCCCATGAACCACTAAGGTTCTTAATGGCATCTAGAATAATGAGTCCTTTCTAGAAGGTTTTTAATTTACTTTGCCCAGATCCATCAGAGGAATCACTGTGTATGGTGGCTATTATACTAGCCTTATGTAATGTATTTCTTTTCTTTTCTTTTGTTTTTTTGAGATGGAGTCTCACTCTGTCGCCTAGACTGGAGTACAGTGGCGTGATCTCAGCTCACTGCAACCTCTAGCTCCCAGGTTCAAGCAATTCTCCTGCCTCAGCCTCCCAATAGCTGGGACTCTAGGCATGCCACCATGCCCAGCTAATTTTTCTATTTTTTTTGTAAGAGACGGGGTTTGCCTATGTTTTCCAGACTGGTCTTGAACTCCTGACCTCAAGTGACCCGCCTGCCTCGGCCTCCCAAAGTGCTGGGATTACAGCATGAACCACTGCACCAGCCACATAATGTATTTCTTAATAATTATTTCTTAAATAATACTTGAGGCCATGCACCTATAATACCAACACTGAGAGGCTGAGGCAGGAGGCTTACTTGAGGCTTGGAGTTCAAGACCACCCTGCACCGCAGGGTGAGACCCTATCGGTACCAAATGGAAAAAAAAAGACATGAGAATCAGAATTACTTCTTGATTCATGGGCTGCAGAATGGATGTTGTGTTAGCGGGCATAAAAACAACCTTAATCTGCTTATATATTTCCATGAGAGCTCTTAGGTGACCGGTTGTATTTGTCAATGAGCAGTAATATTTTAAAATCCTTTATTTTCTGAGCAGTGTGTCTCAAAAGTGGGCTTAAAATAATAACTAAAATATATTGTAAGTAGGTGTGCGGTCATCCTGCCTTTATTTTCACTTATAGAACACAAAAGCAGTATAGATTTAGCATAATTCTTAAGGGCTCTAGGTTATTTGGAGTGGTCAGTGACCATTGGCTTCAACTTCAAGTCACCAGCTGCATTAGTCCCTAACGAGTCAGCCTGTCCTTTGAGGATTTGAAGCCGTGCATTGTATGAAATTTCTAGATGGCATCATCTTCCAATAGAAGTCTGTGTCATCTACATTGAAATGTGTTATTTAGAGTAGCCACCTTCGTCAATGATCTTAGCTAGATCTTACTGATTAATTTGCTGAAGCTTCTACATTAGCACTTGGTGCTTCACCTTGTACTTTTATATTGTGGATACTGCAGAATGGATGGTTTCTTTCCATAAATCTCATGGACCAACCTTTGCCACCTTAAAACTTTCTTTTGCAGCTTCCTCACCTCTCACCTCTCAGCTACCTCACCTCTCACAGCCTTCATTGAATTAAAGAGAGTTTTAGGACCTTTCTCTGAATTAGATCTTGGGTTAAGGGAATGTCATAGCTGGTTTGATCTTCTATCAAGACCACAAAACTTTCTTCCTGTCAGCAACAAGTCTGCTTGGCATTCTCATCATTCATGTGTTCACTGGAGTAACACTTTCAATTTCCTTCAAGAACTTTTCCTTTACATTCACAACTTGGCTAACTGGTGCAAGAGGCCTAGCTTTCAGCCTGTCTCAGCTTTGGACCTGCCTTCTTCAGTAAGCTTACTCATTTCTAACTTTCGATTAGTGAGAGTCATGCAACTCTTCCTTTCACTTGAGCACTTAGAGACTATTGCAGGGTTATTAAATTGTTGCGTCTGAAACTAGGGAGGCCTGAGGAGAGGAAGAAAGAATGGCTAAATGGTGGTACAAACAGAATATACTATTTATGTTTGCTCTTATGTGGAAGTAGTTTGTGATGTCCCAAAACAGTCACAATATTAACATTAAAGACCACAGATCACTGTAATAGATTATTGTTAAGAATTACCAAAATGTGACAGAGACACATGAGCATGTGCTGTTGGAAAAATGGTGCTGATTTTCTTAATGTGGTGTCACAAACCTTAAATTTGTAAAATTTACAGTACTTACGAAGTGCAGTAAAGCAAAGCTCAGTAAAGTGAGGTATACTTGTATTACTACCTCCAAATCAAGTTTTCTGTCACCTATTCCAAAAAATGGAAGTCCAGAAATTTTCTATACAATTTTAAAATAAGGAAATGTGATTCTGGATAAACTTTATGAAATAACTTCGAATATTGAGTGACATCAGAGTTCTATAACTTTTCTTAATAATGAATTATATTATATTTAATTGTTAGGATTTGTTTTCCTTTCATAATTAGCAGTGCTATAGTTTCTATCCTGATTTTTATTTTCTCATTAGTTTTAATGGGAAACATCTATATACTATGTACCTTCCGTATTCTGTTACTTATATTTTTCTGAAAGTCAAATAGAAAAGGGATAGAGGGAATAGAGAATTATGTTTTTCAACTTAATCCATCATGAGTATGTATGTGTAAGATACATTATTCACACAATCAGATAAGCATTCCTTCAGTTTCCTTATCAATCTAAAAATGTGTTTTTCATTCTGTTCTGATTTTTGATTATATTATGGAGAAAATAAAAACAGGAGATGGGATAAATTAATTTACACAATGATCTGTTGAAATAGGAATGAAAGAGATAGTCATCTGTATGATACATAGAAGAAAATAGAAACAGTGAATCATATAGTACTAGTATTACCATTATCTTGGTTAACTAAATTTTAAAACACTGTGGAACCCAAGTGAGCATTGATGCATTTCTAGTAGCAGCTATAGATAACAATTTGCCTATAATGCGTGCAGAGCTGAGGTTTGTGATTCTTTTTAAACATTTAGAAGATTTTCTAACTTCAGAAAATGTGAAAATCATTATATTGTGTAACTCTATTCTCCAGAGTTCTGCTTTGTAAATATAGCCATGTTTACTTAGGTTATCCTTTAAATGATGGATTTTATATGCTTAAAAAATGAAAATGAAATGCCTAGCAGCCCTGAAACCTCAAGCTTGGCTTGCTGTTTTTAAAAATTTATTTATATTTTATTATATATTTAATGTATACAACATGATATTCTGACATATATGCATATTGAAATTATTGTTTCAATCAAACAGATTAATATTCATTATCCTAGTTACCTTGTATCTGTGTGTATGATAAGAACACCTAAAATCTATAACAAATTTTTGATATACATTACAGTGTTATTAAGGAGGTTTTTTTGGTTTGTTCTT